GTCGAAAAAGAGGCATTATTATGTGAAAAAGCAAACCAGAGTTATGGGACTTGTGCCAATCATCTGAGATAATCTCAGACATGTCAGAGAACAAGTGTGTGAATTTTCAATCCATTCCCTTCAGTAGTTATGGAGACACCAGCTTACACACAAAAACTTAACCAAGAATTTCATAGTCGAAAAAAGGGCATGCGTATAATTATGTAAAATAGCAAACCTGAGTGCTATTATGGGACTTGTGCCAATCATCTTAGATAATCACAGAGAACAAGTGTGTGAAGTTTCAATCCATTTCCTTCAGTAGGTATGGAGAAACCAGCAAACACAAAAACTTAACCACAGGGACGCCGACAAATGGGTGACTGCATTAGCTCGATTATTTCTGCGAATAGTCGAGCTAAAAAACCTGACAATAAGCAGGAATTGGAAGGGGGGTTGAAATTTATTTAGAAACACAGGATGTGCATAATAATAAGCATATTTTTCTACTTATTTAAACAAGAGGGCCATGATGGCCCTGAGGTCGCTCACCTGTATATAGGCCCCCCAACCCCCACCCCCCCCCCAAACGTTGCAAGGCCAATTTAACCAAAGGGCTTTTATTTGCACAAACTTGGTAGACACCCATAAGAAGCTATTTAAAAGAAGATTTTTTTTTAAGTTTTTTACTATACACATATAGTTAAAAAACAATGACACCCCTGGGGCCGGGCCAGTTATGACCCCAGGGTTTTTATTTGAACAAACTTTGTAGACACTTACTAGAATATGTTTCATGCTTAATATCTAAACTCTAGCTATTTGGGTTTTTTTCAAAGAAGATTTTAAGTTTTTGCTATACACATATAAGGAAAATCAATGACCCCGGGGCGGGGCCAATTTTGACCCCAGGTCTTTTATTTGAACAAACTTTGTAGACACTCACTAAAAGATGTTTCATGCTTAATATCTTAACTCTAGCTATTTGGGTTTTTTCAAAAAAGATTTTTTAAGTTTTTGCTATACACATATAAGGAAAATCAATGACCCCCTGGGGCGGGGCCAATTTTGACCCCAGGGCTTTTATTTGAACAAACTTGGTAGACACCTATTAGAACATGTTTGATGCTAAATATCTTAACCATAGCTCTTTGAGTTCTTTAAAAGAAGATTTTTTTAAGTTTTTACTATATGCATATATAGGGAAAATCAATGACCCCCGGGGCGGGGTCAATTTTGACCCCAGGGCTTTTATTTGAACAAACTTGGTAGACACTTATTAGAACATGTTTCATGCTAAATATCTTAGCTCTAACTCTTTTGGTTCTTTAAAAAAGAAATTTTTTAAGTTTTTACTATATGCATATAGGGAAAATCAATGACCCCCTGGGGCGGGGCCAATTTTGACCCCAGGGCTTTTCTTTGAACAAACTTGGTAGACACCTATTAGAACATGTTTGATGCTCAATATCTTAGCCATAGCTCTTTGAGTTCTTTAAAAGAAGATTTTTTAAGTTTTTACTATATGAATATAGGGAAAATCAATGACCCCCCGGGGCGGGGCCAATTTTGACCCCAGGGCTTTTATTTGAACAAACTTGGTAGACACTCACTAGAAGATGTTTCATGCCAAATATCTAAGCTCTAGCTCTTATGGTTTTTTAAAAGAAGATATTTAAAGTTTTTTCTTTCGGTTGCCATGGCAACCAGAGTTCTGCATGGAATTAAATTCTTTGAACAATTTTTAAAGGTGACCACCAAAGGAACATTCCTGTGAAGTTTGGATGAAATTGGCCTTGTGGTTTATGAGGAGATGTCATTTAAAGTAAAAGTTTACGGACGACAGACGGACGACGGACGACGGACGAAAAGCGATCACAAAAGCTCACCCTGTCACTTTGTGACAGGTGAGCTAAAAAGTAAAGAAAAAAACAAAGGGCTATAACTCTGAAAAAAAATATCAAGTTAAAAAACTCTGACAATATGTACAAGTTACACTTAGTAATAATATTTCCTTGAAATCTTAGTTGAAATTTATTGAAAAATGTATGAGATGTTTATCTTCCACCCACCTGCAAACATTCACCAATTTAATTACATGTAATAATTCAGTGTTTCTTTCAGAAAACCTGATTAAAACATAAACTTTCCAAGAAGAACTGTTTATTTTACAGTATAATAAAGCTGTCAACCATCCTGTTGACGATGTAACCAAAAACCTCCACCATACAATATCAAGATTAAAGTATACCTCCATCGTAATTTCAAAAAACATTTCTTCAAAAAATTGCCTACCATTCATTTCTCATAACAATATAATTTGATAACTCAAATACAGACATAACTTCAACTTTCTGAATTATTGCAAAAAAGGAATATCTTTTATGATGAAATAGCGAAGACTCTATCGAGTTACAGTCTAAGATTTATTACTATAATTATATCTACAACAAAAAGTTATCAAATTCTGACAGGTTTATCCATTACCAGCTACATTTAACATCATTAACAATTTGGATTTTGCAGAATGTGACGGGATTGTCAAAATAAATAACTATGTTTCAAATTTCTCTAAAATGAATATAAAATTCTTTAGATAAATAACCACAATTCATATGCTTTTTGTTTTGTTTCTTGATTTCACTTGCAGTAGGCGCAAATTAAACGTTATGTTGAAGTTATTTTATAACCGTACAGTATAGTTTATGTTTTTGTTATTTTTTGGAAGGAGGTGACATGGGTTAGCTGATGGGGAAGGTAAGGTAGGTTTTCAAGTCTCACAGAGATTTTTCACTCGTGGAAAAAAATAACTGTATCCCTGCATTTACTATTTCTGACTGTGACTGTGACTGTGTTAGGTACCTAGGTAGCACCCACGACTTTCCAGACACCTCATTAAAGCTTAATACATCACCAAATACACCTACATACCATCTCTGTATATCAACAAACACATATGCCATTTTCATACATCAACAAACACACCAACAAGTCATCTTTTTTTTTTATTGAGTTTTACATCACACCAACACTTTAAAGATCATATGGCGACTTTCCAGTTTAACTGGAGGAGGAAGACCTCAGGTGCCTCTCTGTGTCTTATTACAGGGCAAAAAACAGGCACCTTAGTAATCATCCATGTTCAGTAAGCTAGCTGGATAGCTACCTCTGATGAAAGAATTCAATGTCCCTTGTGGGATTCAAACCCACAGCAATGAGGGCAAGTGGTTGTAAGGTCTTAAGACCTTTTAGCTACCACTGTAAATCTACAAAGACACCTGCTTGTCACCACTGTAAATCTACAAGTCACCAATAGGCTGCCTCTGTAGTACTGTACTTAGACACCAATAGGCTGCCTCTGTAGTACTGTTCTTAGACACCAATAGGCTGCCTCTGTAGTACTGTACTTAGACACCAATAGGCTGCCTCTGTAGTACTGTACTTAGACACCAATAGGCTGCCTCTGTAGTACTGTACTTAGACACCAATAGGCTGCCTCTGTAGTACTGTTCTTAGACACCAATAGGCTGCCTCTGTAGTACTGTACTTAGACACCAATAGGCTGCCTCTGTAGTACTGTTCTTAGACACCAATAGGCTGCCTCTGTATTACTGTACATAAACAAAGACATCAACATGCCCCCTTAACACCAACCTGCCACCACTGTAAAACTGCTTTAAATCAACTAAGACACCTACATGTCACCTTTGTACATAAACAAAGACAACAAAATGTCAACATCAGCAAATACACCTCCATGCAACCACCCACAATCTTAAGCTTCTTATGTAAAGACTGTACTTTAGTTGCGAGTATACTATACATGGGATTAAAACTTTGGATTTGTTGTCAGACAGTGTTACCAATGAACCACAGCAGCACCCACTCAATGAAATGCAATTTGTTTTCTTTATTATCTATAGATGACTACCAATATTCATTAACCAACTTTATGTGCCCTTAAGGAATTAGATAATTATGTAATTTCAATGCATGGTTAATCAATATCTTAGTACTTAATCTCTAATGTACTTCATTGAACACCTTGCATAAACAACTGACTAATCATCTGTCATCTGTGTTATAATTAGCACAATTTAATTCAACACTCTGTTAGTAATTGTATAGGATCCCATAATAGGTTGTCTGATAACCAAAGACTGGATTGTGCTAGAAATTGGCATGGTGCCAAAAGTTTCACATGCAGCCGGAAGTTTGGCAGGGTAACTGTATGTATGTCGCAACACACAAACTTTGGTCCAAACCAAATGATTTTTCAAAGATAACATGACATCATTTAAGGAAGTTTGGCAATTAAATCCTCTCAGATAATGGATCAGGAACTGATTTCAGGAACTGATTTAACTCTGATTATCTAATTAAACTGACCTGTGCACAATGAAGGTCATACAATTACAAATGGTATCCATCCTACAAAATTTATTTTATTTATGAATTCATTCTACAAAGTGGAAATATTTTCAGACATAGTTCACTTTAACCTTAGTAACCATTCCAAAGGATAAACATTTAATGTGAAACTGGGTCTAGACTTTATAAAGAGGTTTGATCCTAATCAAATTTAATTGGCATACAAAGCCTAAAAAGTTATTTTCTAGCTTTCACTTTTAAATACAAATATCTTTGTAACATAAAAGACAATTCCAACACAAATTTTCCCAAATTTAAAGATCAAAATGTCCATGAAGCAACTTAATTCTATTAGCACTTCTTGGCAGTACTTTTTTCTTGCAAAAATGTTTAATGATACAAAATTAATATACTTGGCATTAGATAACAAGATAATATTGATCTGAAATTATCCTTTTATGTATTTAAATAGTTATTATAATTTGAATGTTTTACATAAAGGGACACAATTAATATTACAACACTTCTTCTTTTTTGATCAGTCTCCAAAGAGTTACTTCCCTTCCTGTAATTTTGTCCACATCAACAATAATTCTACTTTACATTGGCTTATATTTTCCTAGAAGAAAAAACAAATGAGTAATTCCTACCTCTTTCTGTAAAACCTTCTTTGAGAATTTCTTTAATTCTTTCTGGGTGTTCCAGAGTTCCACAGAAATATAAATCAAGCACCATGAGGGGATCTTTCAAACTCTGCACCTTGGCTCTGTAGGCCTTCTTTGTTTTTTCTGGTACCAATGCCTGTATAAAATAAACAGAGAAATAATAACCCAACCATCCCTATGTCATTACATAAGTTAACAAGAAGATATCCAATACAGTTCATACTAACCATTCCCCAGAGGAATTTATGTAATGGGCTTGACCCTGTTTTGAATTTGGAACAGTCCATTTGAGTAATATTAATATTAGGTGAACTGAACTATATGGACAACAGATGGACAGATGGGCAGACAGACAAGGCAGGGACTATATGCTCTGGCATGGAACATCATAAAGGAATAAAAGTGAAATAGGAAAGTTATATCTACTGTCAGCATTAATCTTTTGCCTGCAAATGGCAACATATTTTACAAATAAAAAGGACTAAAGTCCTCCCATCTAAAAACAAGAAACATGGCAATGCCATGAAACCAGGTTTTCAATTATCACCATTGTAGATAAATATGTTGTATTTGAAATACAAATGCACGCAACAAACAATGTAACTATGTGCAATGTAAAACATGAATAATGTAGGAGGAATTGCCACTGAAGAAGTGTTCACTATATATTCTGTATAAGGAAAAAAGAAAGGGCCATAATTAGGTCAAAAATTATCCAATCACAAAACCCCGACAATATGTGCCAGGGAAAGGGCCATAATTAGGTCAAAAATTATCCAATCACAAAACCCCGCCAATATGTGCCAGGCCGCTTGGTGACAAAGCTTCTGTGAAAGTTTGAACAAAATCCGTTGAGAAATGTAGGATGAGTTCAGCACAGAAGAATTTGTTCACTATATATTGATAATTCTGTATAAGGAAAAAAAACAAAGGGCCATAATTAGGTCAACTATTATCCAATCACAAAACCCAGACAATATGCGCCAGGCCACTTGATAACAAAGCTTCTGTGAAAGTTTGGTCAAAATCCGTCAGGAAATGTAGGAGAAGTTGCGCACGATAGAAATTGTTCACTATATATTCTGTATAAGGAAAAAAAAAGGGCCATAATTAAGTCAAATATAATCCAATCACAAAACCCTGACAATATGCGCCAGGGCACATGATGACAAAGCTTCTGTGAAAGTTTGAACAAAATCCCTTGAGAATTGTAGAGGGAGTTCAGCACAGAAGAAATTGTTCACTATATATTCTATATAAGGAAAAAAACAAAGGGCAATAATTAGGTCAAATATTATCCAATCAAAAAAACCCGACAATATGCCCCAGGGCACTTGGTGACAAAGGTTCTGTGAAAGTTTGGTCAAAATCCGTGGAGAAATGTAGGAGGAGTTGCGCACAGAAGAAATTGTTCACTATATATTCTTTATAAGGAAAAAAAACAAAGGGCCGTAAAAAGGTCAAATATTATCCGATCGCAAAACCCCGACAATATGCCCCAGGGCACTTGATGACAAAGCTTCCGTGAAAGTTTTGTCAAAATCCGTTGAGAAATGTAGAAGGAGTTGCGCACAGAAGAAATTGTTCACTATATATTCTATATAAGGTAAAAAAACAAAGGGCCATAATTAGGTCAAATATTATCCAATCGCAAAACCCCGACAATATGCGCCAGGGCACTTGATGACAAAGCTTCTGTGAAAGTTTGGTCAAAATCCATTGAGAAATGTAGAAGGAGTTGGGCACAGAAGAAATTGTTTACGCCCGCCCGCCCGCCGACATACCTCAATCTAATAACCAGTTTTTTCCTTCGGAAAACCTGGTTAATAAAATAGTGGACAACAGCCCTCCCATGAATTTGATATTTGCTATTGGTCCTGCCTGTAAATTCATGGGAGGGCTGTTGTCCATTATGTCATTTTTAAATGGTAGGGTTTTTGTCCTGCATGAGAAGTTCATGAGAGGACTATTGTCCACTAAGCCATTATTAGATGGGAGGGCTTTTGTCCTGCCCTTAAATTTCATGGAAAGGCTATTGTCCACTATGTCTTTCTTAAATGGGCGGGCTTTTGTCCTGCCTGTACAGTTCATGAGAGGACTATTGTCCACTATGTCATTATTAAATGGGCGGGCTTTTGTCCTGCCTGTAAGTTTCATGGAAAGGCTATTGTCCACTATGTTATTATTAGATGGGAGGGCTTTTGTCCTGCCTGTAAAAATATTATGGAAAGGCTATTGTCCACAGCCATCGTTTTACAATATAAACATTGTAAATTTATTAGGGTAAAAGGCCCTTGGTATAAAGCCATTGGTTATACAAAAAATGTAAAATTTGTTGGGGTATAAACATTTGTAATAGGTCCTTGGTTAGCCACTGGTTATATTAAAATTAAAAATTACTTTAAACTATCTCATTGTCCTGCAGAGTTGGTGCTTTTACTAAGTATACAATTATCTTTAAAAGTCCTCACTATTCCTAAGCAGATATGGGGCAAGTTTATACTTGACTGGTGCTTTCTGGTAAATATCTCAGGGTTTTTTTGTTTTTGTTTATAACCAGACATTTAATTTACCTTAGATATTGAGGAGACTTCACATTTCTTGCAGGCCTGTGTGTCAAGCATCATCTCTGTCTTGAACTGTTCTGTAACATCATAGAAGAATGCCGAATCTTTAATATGATCGTAAGGTTCCTCTTGCCCGTTACCTTCGTGTTTACTGAATGCCATGTAACGACTCTCATCTGAAATTTGTAAAAATGTATTTAAAGGGACTACCACTGAGGGTTTTTTGACATAAAGGGACTAGAAATATTTTTCCAAGATTTGTGAACCATTTGATGTAGGTCTAGACCAATCAAAACTTTTGTTTAAATTCTCAGATCATTCTCTGAGTCTTTTCCTGTTTTTCAAGAATCTTTATTTTTACTTGCAAAATAAACCAAAAAATGAAAAGCTTTGCAATGCTTTGACTCAAATTGGTCTAAAAAGCGCACAAAAAAAAAATCAATTTTCAATTCAGTTTTGAGCATATTTCTATATTATTATCCTTTGCATATTTTCTAATTTAATATTGCTAGCTTAACCTACAACTATGATCTCATTGTTATCAAAGCTTGTTAATGTTTTTTTAAGGGAGCTTTCAAGTGAATTTTTTTTATAACTGGTTAAACAAATGAATAAAAATAAAGTTAATTAAAACAAGAGCCACAAGACAGACAATACATTCAACTTTTTACTGTGCTCCATTATGACTGTTTAACAAGAGTTGTTCATAAGAAAGTGCACTTGACTTTTCTCAGTGCAGCTGCTTGACAGTAAGAGAAGGGGCACAACTCTGTTAAAATGTAACTCAGAGTTAAAGGACCTGTATCCATTATTTAAGATAATAACAGAGAACAAATGTGTGGAGTTTCCATCCATTGCCTTCAGTAGTTTTGGAGATTCCAGCTTCACATTAAAACATCACCAAAATTTGACTGTGAAGATAGTCGAGCTGAAAAGGGATCATAAAAGAATTGCCAAAGTTTAAAAACTGGGATAATTTCAAAAGAATTTATGTTCAACTTATGGGTCTATGCTAGTGACCTATTGCTTCCAGGATAATGCCCCTTGTCTTATAACTGCAGCTTGTCATGAAAAGCAAGCATTTTTATTTTCGTGTTAATAACTTTCAACTAATGATTACATAATGGGCTACATTAATGTTTTTGCAAGACTTCAACTTCAACGCAGGGAATATAATTGCTGGACTATTTCTTTGAAACAGTCAAGCTAAAAATGCTTATATAAAATGGACCACAAACATGCAATGCAATAAAACTAAGGATGGGTTTGACTACCAGTATATTAATACCATACATGCCATACCTTGTATTTCACAATAAGTTAATGATATGTTAAAGTATGTCAATGTTAGTAATATGTTAAGAAGGATGTATGTTACCTATGACAGTAAATGATCCGTTAGATTTGTTACTTAGTGACTCCATTAGATCCCGGGAAGAAGTACGTTTGTGTTTCAACTTTAAATCCATCCTATCAACTTGCCGTTGTAATGTGTCTATAAGTTCTTTGGTAGTTCTTTCATCCTCATCTAGACATGGGTAAAAATACTTCAGTGAATAACCTTACTATGTCATAGTTACCCTAAAACACCTCTAAATATCTTAAATGGACTTGTCCATCTTTCAATCAGGACAAATCCATTTATCTGTTTTACGGGGAAATTTTGAAATTGTGAAATTAACCCCTCTAAAGATCTTTAAAAGACTCGTCCATCTTTAAATCCGGACAAATACATTAATCTTTTTAGAGAAAATTTAAAAATTGTACTATTGTATAACAACCGGTGCAGACCATGATCAGATGGCACTGATGTGACGGCTGATCTTTAAGTCTGCGCTGGTCACATGGGTAGAACCTGTTGCACACAGCAGACAAATTTTAGGTTAACAGTAAAAGCATTAATTTTATCATCAGGCCTAAGGTTATTATATTTATATAGAAATTTTTTTTTTCACAAATTGATAAATGTTTTTTTTTCATGTTGGATTTAAGTCACACTTATACTGTAAAGGTAATATGGCAACTTTCCAGCTTTGAAGGTATAGGAAGACCTCAATTAGACCTTAATTATTTATAATTTATTCTGACAGGTTTGCCAATATATGAAAACATTTCAGTACCCTTTTTTAATTTAATGCAGAATAATTAGCAGAGTAGAGAATGTGTTTTTTTTTTAAATACTTCCCCTTTAACACCGAACAGTAAATGAAGAAGAAAATAGTATATTTTTGTACTTTTTGACTTAATAAATCTTAACTTTCTACATATTTATCTATTATGAAAGCAGATATTTTTTGTTTGACCCCCATATCAAATTCTGTACTTTCAATGACATTTCAGTCAAAACTTTATTCATGTATTAATAATGACTTAAATAGTATATGACAATTATACAATACTTGATTTGATAATTAGATCACTTTTTTATTGGCATTTAAACAATCTCATTTAATCCGGGTATTTAGGTCAGAAAAATGAAGAACTGATTTACTTAACACTTAAATATTTTAAAAATTTAAACTGTTTAAAACAAATGATTTAAAAAAGACCAACCATACATATTTTGAATATTTATTATTATTCAAAAGAGGTATGATTATGCAAAATAAATAACCCAATAGATAATATTTCCTCTTCTTTGACTAAATTCAAGTTTACCTCAAAATTAGTTTAACATACAACATATTTGAGTAAATTAGAGTTCTCCTCAAAATTAATGACACATAAAACCCGAGTATAAATAATCCTTGACAAAAAAAACCCCCAAATATCCTATAGAATAAATCCAAACTAAGTTTAAAATCCAGCCTCACTTTCTGTACCCAACACACTATAATGTCAACTTTGAATATAATAGCTCTCCTACTAAAAATTACTGTACTGAATTACCTACAATAATCAATCAATTAATCAATCAACCTTATTAAATCAAAAATCAATTAAGAAAAGCCCATGAAAATAACCAACATAAACAAACAATATAATGGTCATAACCTGTTTTTCTTTACAGATTTTAATTAAAATCACACCTTTTATTTCTGTTCAATAATTCAGCTTTCATGCACTTCTACTACTGTGAAATTAATTTGTTGTATGGAAATTGGTAAGTAAAATCATAATAACACATGGACGAATGAGTCTGTACAGAATTCAATAAGACGCGTGAAGTGAAACATGACATTAATTGATACGAACCAATCAAATGTCACTATATTATATTTACAGGAGATGAGCGGAAAAAACGCCAAATTTTGGGAGTGTGGGCTTAACAAAAAACTGATTATTTATAATGGTTATCAATTACATAAATTTCCGTTTCTTTTATTAAGAATAATATCTTATTTTATAATGTCCATTTTAACATTTCATAACGTTTTTTAATGGATTAGGAATTTTTTTGACATTAATACAATACATAAAAATATTACACAAACAAAAATGATGAACAAAATATACATGTACACAGAACTTGTATTCACTCATTTTTATCGCAGTACCTTGCTATATCAAATAGAATCAGGGCATTGGTTTCTGCTTTCAAACCAAAGTTTTTGTGTTCAAGCAACATAAATGTCACACCTATGTTTTTTTCATGGATAATCTAAACCAGATAATCCAAGAAGCATACACTTAATACACTTAAGGATTTCAATGATTTTACAAGATTTTTGTAGTGCATCAGTGCAAATGCACTTAAATTTAAAAATCAAAAGTCCTTATATGATTAAGGTTCTATTAGTGCCAATATTGGGAAGAATATCAGTGAGGCAAATAAACCAGTAACATACACATCATCACCTTAGTGCAGTAACAGGTTAAGTCTTTCTTAATTTAAAAAAAGTTAACCAGTTATTGCACTAAGTAGACAAAATATAGTATTTACCTCATAAAAATCAAAAGTGATTTAAAGAAGTTAAACTTATTTTACCATCAAGTCTAAATAAATAATTATGTTTAAATCAAACAACACTAAGACTTTTCACATTTTTTTTTTCAAAGCCTGTAAAATTTCAATTGGTTTCTTTTACCTTCAAAATTTTTAATTATCAAACGGTCATTATACATCAGCAAGTTTTGGCTTTTTTTCCCCCAATTTCTATAAGAGATCTTCTAAACTAAATAAAAGTATTTACTCTTATTTAAATCATGTGAGAAACTGCAAACAGTTTATAGAATAAGATAATCAATTAATAAAAAGAAGTAACTTTTATAACTTGAATTCATATATGCTCAGAGTCCTACAAATTGAATGAAAGGGGTCTAAACTAATTTAAACAAGAGGGCCATGATGGCCCTGGATCGCTCACCTGACACAACCGCATCCAAGCAATGTCTTAAACAAGCATCATGACCAAGTTTGATGCGACTGAGTCAAACATGTGACCTCTAGTGTGTTATAAAGATTTTTCCATATTTGGGCAATGTGACCTAATTTTTGACTGGACACGACCCATATTCAAACTTGACCTAGAAATCATCAAAACAACCTTCCTGACCAATTTCCAGGAAATTTGGATCAAAACAGCAGCCACTAGAGTGTTAAAAAGATTTTTCTATTTTTAGCTCCTGTGACCTAGTTTTTGACCAGACATGACCAATCTTAGCACTTGACCCAGAAAACATCAAAAACAACATTCTTGACAAATTTCCTGAATATTTGAATAAAAACTGCAGCCACTAGAGTGTAAACAAGCTTTTTCTATTTTTAACTCCTGTGACCTAGTTTTTGACCTGAGATGGCCCATCTTCGAACTTGACCTAGAAATCATCAAAACAACCTTCCTGACAAATTTCCAGAATATTTGAATCAATACTGCAGCCACTAGAGTGTTAACAAGCTTTTTCTATGTTCAGCTCCTGTGACCTAGTTTTTGACCGGAGATAACCCATCTTCGAACTTGACCTAGACATCATCAAAACAACCTTCCTGACAAATTTCAAGAATATTTGGATGAAAACTGCAGCCCCTAATGTGTTAACAAGCTTTTCTATTTTTAGCTCCTGTGACCTAGTTTTTGACCGGAGATGACCCATCTTCGAACTTGACTTAGATATCATCAAAACAACCTTCTTGACAAATTTCCAGAACATTTAGATGAAAACTGCAGCGATTAGAGTGTTAACAAGCTTTTTCTATTTTTAGCTCCTGTGACCTAGTTTTTGACCTGAGATGACCCATCTTCGAACTTGACCTAGAAATCATCAAAACAACCTTTCTGACAAATTTCCAGAATGTTTGGATGAAAACTGCAACCATTAGAGTGTTAACAAGCTTTTTCTATTTTTAGCTCCTGTGGCCTAGTTTTTGACCAGACATGACCCATCTTCGAACTTGACCTAGAAATCATTAAAACAACCTTCCTGACAAATTTCCAGAATATTTTAATCAAAACTGCAGCCACTAGAGTGTTAACAAGCTTTTTCTATTTTTAGCTCCTGTGACCTAGTTTTTGACCAGAGATGACCCATCTTCGAACTTGACCTGAAAATCATCAAAACAACCTTCCTGACAAATTTCCAAAATATTTGGATGAAAACTGCAGCCACTAGAGTGTTAACAAGCTTTTTTCTATTTTTAGCACCTGTGACCTAGTTTTTGACCGGACATGACCCATCTTCCAACTTGACCTAGATATCATCAAAACAACCTTCCTGACAAATTTCCAGAATATTTGGATGAGAACTGCAGCCACTAGAGTGTTAACAAGCTTTTTCTATTTTTAGCTCCTGTGACCTAGTTTTTTGACCGGACATTACCCATCTTCCAACTTGACCTAGATATCATCAAAACAACCTTCCTGACAAATTACCAGAATATTTGGATGAAAACTGCAGCCACTAGAGTGTTAACAAACTTTTTCTATTTTTAGCTAAATGTGACCTAGTTTTTGACCGGAGATGACCCATCTTCGAACTTGACCTAAATATTATCTAAGCAACCTTCCTGACAAATTTCCAGAATATTTGGATGAAAACTGCAGCCACTAGAGTGTTAACAAGCTTTTTCTATTTTTAGCTCCTGTGACCTAGTTTTTGACCAGACATGATCCATCTTTAAACTTGACCTAGATATTATCTAAACAACCTTCCTGACAAATTTCCAGAAATATTGGATGAAAACTGCAGCCTATAGAGTGTTAACAAGCTTTTTCTATTTTAAGCTCCTGTGACCTAGTTTTTGACCAGACATGACCCATCTTCGAACTTGACCTAGATAAAATCAAAACAACCTTCCTGACAAATTTCCCAAAAATATTTGGATGAAAATTGCAGCCACTAGAGTGTTAACAAGCTTTTTCTATTTTTAGCTCCTGTGACCTAGTTTTTGACCAGACATGATCCATCTTCAAACTTGACCTAGATATCATCTAAACAACCTTCCTGACAAATTTCCAGAATATTTGGATGAAAACTGCAGCCTATAGAGTGTTAACAAGCTTTTTCTATTTTTAGCTCCTGTGACCTAGTTTTTGACCGGAGATGACCCATCTTTGAACTTGACCTAGAAACCATCAAAACAACTTTCCTGACAAATTTCCAGAATATTTGGATGAAAACTGCGGCCACTTGAGTGTTAACAAGCTTTTTCTATTTTTAGCTCGTGACCTAGTTTTTGACCAGAGATGACCCATCTTCGAACTTGACCTAGATATCATCAAAACAACCTTCCTGACAAATTTCCAGAATATTTGGATGAAAACTGCAGCCTCTAGAGTGTTAACAAGCTTTTTCTATTTTTAGCTCCTGTGACCTAGTTTTTGACCCGAGATAACCCATCTTCGAACTCGATCTGTATTTCATTGAGACAAACATTCTGACAAAGTTTGATGATGATCCAATCAAAACTGTGACTGCTAGACTGTTAACAACCCAATTGTTGACGACGAACGACGCACAACGCACGACGCACCACGCACGACGCACAACGCACGACGACGGACGCCGGACATAGCCCCATCACTATACCTCACCATGACCACTTCGTGGTCAGGTGAGCTAAAAAGTTGGAAAAGTCCTAAGAAAGAAGGCAAATACAGCTAAGTCTTTAAAGAGATGGAGAAAGGGATATGAAATGATTTTTTAAAGGAAAAAGGCATAAAAAAAGTTTCAGAAACTATCAGTGAGATGAAAATTAAAGTGAAGGAAATGGAAATAAGAGTGTAAAATAGCAGAAAGCATTTTGGAAAATTTGAAAAAAAAAAGTATGAAAAATGTTTCAACTTTAGCCTGCTGCAGGCAACTAAATGTACATCTAATCATGGCCGACACTGTTTGTTTTTCAGTCCCTACATATTTTGAAATTTTTGCTAAAAAATGATGAACAGTTTTATTCAGATTAAAAGATGGACTAATCAAAGTCAAGGACGGAAAAGGAATATTTGATTTAGATCAAGATTCAGTTAAGGATAAGAATGATAAGACAATATACAATAATGGTATTAGATAATGATGAGATTATAATTTGTAGAGTTGAAAGTTTTAATGACATCACCAATGTTATACATAATACATATCAAGGTTTTATCGCAACACTGAAAAAAAACTTTTTTAGTTTACCCCAGTTTATTACCAAGTGTCAACAGAGTTGCGACAAAACCTTTCATACATGCAACACCAAACCCAATATTCTCCTTTCCAAATTAATTATTCTGGACTAGTTTACAAATTGCAAGTAGATCTTATGTAAAATATCACAAAATAGCAATTTAACCAATATCCTACAAGATTTTGCTTTTTCTAACCATATTCACTCTCATCAGATCGTTTTCAAAAACAAATTGCAATATGACTTACTTTGAAATGTTCATTTTGAAATTTATTTAAAAAAAACAACAACAAACTTGATAATATGAGCTGTTTCAAAAAAAAAAACACTGTTTCTAACCATTTTCAGTCTAATTATATCATTTCATGAAATCAAATTAACAAGTTTAAAGTCTTAACAAGTTAAATAAAATATCAAAGGCTAGCAGATCACAAAATATATTTCTTTTTCACCCTCTATAATCCTATCACACAGTTTAGTGCCCCTCGTGTAAACAGCTACTTAATCTAAGCCCCTCGTGTAAATAACTAGTTAATCTATATCAATAGCCTACCTTGATCTGATTTTTCACTACCAAATGCACTCTTTACTGTTGACAGTCTGTAGTCCAGTAGTTCTTTCTCTAAAATAATAAAAATATATTTGTACAAAGTCTTTTTTTCTCTTTGAATAAGTTAAACAGAATGTGCTGGAGAAAGAAAAAGTAACTAAACTAATTACATGTATATACACCTGGAAATAAATTAAGCACATCCCGGAAATTTAAAATTGGTTGTGATTGAAAGCATTGTCATGAGAAGACGACTTAATTGAGCTAAGAAATAGTAATTTCATAAGTAACAATACCAATTTAGTAATCATAAATTAACCAAATTATTGAAATTTTTAACGTGTGTAGCACGCAAAGTGCCCTGATGATAGCCTCAACCCTTCTCCTCACACCCGGAATTTTGCCTCAATTTTGACATGATCACAGCTGAATTTTTTTTTTTATTTTGGCAATGGTACAAACCACCTATAGTCAACCTCCAACAACTTGAACATTAGCTCTGCACCAATAATGGCAAAATTTACCTAAATATGGCATTAGATGTCTTACTGGTAGTATGAGGAGAAGGTCATGACTTGTAGACTTCTTTCCAGGATACCTTTCATTTCAAAATTCAAAAGGGGGTGGGGGCAAGGATTCATTGAGATTAGCAAGAAAATTGTTTCTAAAATAACAGACAACCTTGTTTACAGATATTTTAAACTTGCAAATATTATAATAACACAAAATGTCAAAAATAAATGTGGAATGTACTTAGCTATGATTATTAAATTATGATTTTGAAATAATGATTGTAGAACCATGACTTTTGGCACTATGACTTGTACATGATTTTGTCTTTGGATGTGACTTAAAATTTAAGGTCCCATCAAATGGTGCAATTGCACCTGCCATGCCAATGAACCCTTTGTGTGGAACATTTTCATAGGTTCTTAAACTCGTTGACAGTTTATTTTTTCCAGAAGGTAAAATATAAATAATGTGTTGCAAAATAATCTTACAGCATACGAAACGAAATTTTGTTGGATCTTTGTTTCCCACGAATATTTATGATTTTGCAGTAGATCAACATGTACATATAAAACCCACATTCACATAGAAATACTGGTCAAGAATCCCACAAAATGTGACTCAAAAGGACAAAAATACTACTAAAGCAATAACAATGGATTAACCATGTGTAGAGTTTATGTACCCTGGTCAATGAGTGACAATGATATAGAGTACTGTTTTCAATCTCTAAATCTTAAAACAAATACATTCAATTTTATAGTGTTTATAAGTTTATATCATTATCAAAATATAAAGAAACAAAACAACATCCCATCACTGATTTTTTTTCATGAATTTCTGTTTCTACTTGCTTTTAATCTACACTGATCCTTCATTAGCATGAAGATGTTTATGGTGTTTATAAAATGGGTCCTTTTTGTTGTTGTTGTTGTTTTGGGGTGTTTTTGTTTTTGTTTTTTTTTATTCAAATTCTGTATATTAAATTGTTAATGGTTAAAAATATTTTTTCGTAATGTCAAGTTATTAAAAGTTAAAGCAAATACAGTATGAATATAAAGTGTTAAAATATAAATAAAATAAAAACTGAAAAAAAATTTATAATTTATAGATCTATTTCCCGTTTGTATCATAAATAACTGATATAATTGTAATCAAAATCTTACTTTTATCTGTTTTTACACATATCTACATATTATTTGGATACAAAATCAAAATGTTTTACTTACATTGTCAATAACGTAAGAAAATATCCTAATTAAAACACATATACAAAGTAATAACAGATTAAGTAAGTTTAAAAGTCGTATAATTATAGCCAATAAATACTTGCGTCGATTTAAAAAAAAATATTATCAATACCAAGATCTTGATATGACGTATTTTATTCATTGAGAAAGACTTCTATACCATTCAGTTCCAATCACTTTTAATGTTAATGTTCCCCCTTAAACATTAATTTAAAAGCCCCATTAAATTTAATTTTGTTGATTTTAAAACACTACTTTTTGAATTTTAACTACAAAATTTAAACGTAAGAAAAACAGAAATTATACAAAATGCATAAATAAAAACGCTCTAAAAAAATAGATTTTGAGTTATTTAAGAAGGGTCTGAGTTAGAACAGTAACAGGATAAATATTAATATAAAAAATGATAATTTTATTCTATACAAAGTCTTAAATATATTCTCAGATTTTCCATTTTGTCAAAGGCTGAAAACAATTTAAATCAAAATAGAAACCTATCAGTTTATTTTGCACCTAAATAAAATTTTTTATATCATTTTTTAAGTTCAATGGATTGAAAAGAGATTTTTCAGTGGTAAAGTGAATGTTAAAACAAAATCTTGAACACTATTGGTACGTACTCCAGTTAAATTTGTATAGCACACTTACCAGTATGGTCCATAACTATTCAAAGGGGCCGATTATTGCCTTCAGATTATTCTTATATTTTCATTTCTCAAAATCTTTTTATTTTTGGCATTTTGTTACAATTTCCACATTATACTCACTTGCCATATATATGCTTCTTTTTGTCTGTTGGTAATTGTTCTAATTATAGTGAATTAGTATTTTGTATGGAAGTCAAAATACTACTTTGTTTACATTTTGCTATCTTTACCACCAATTACTGCATGCTCAGCGCTATTTTCTTCAGTTGTTAAACATCTTACATACTCTTAATTCATAATTTAAACATTATTATTAACACATGACTGATATTTTTAAATAATTAAAATAAGGATTTCTGAGGCATATTGTACCTTTAAGCAAATAATACCAAATACTGTAATAAAATTAAGTAAACAAGGTGATGTAGGACAGCATGTCAAGAAAACCAGAGTAGGTTTAACCTACTTTATTTATCGACCGATTTTGGTCAAACAATAACCTTCATTATATAAAATTGTGAAGTAAATAATAGAGGCACCTGGTCGGACTGGTTTTTTTGTTTGTCTGGTTTGTTTTTAACACATTTTTACCCATATCTTTGCTATTGGCAGTGAGGATAGGCCTTTATTTGTTACGACTGTTCGCTAGGGTCAGAAACTTTAATTGGGTATAATAATAACAATTTTTTTCTATGCCATATTTTGTTTCACCTCTGATATAAAGAAATACTAGTATAAGAATAGTATGTTATGGAAAAAAATATTAAATCGCTATTCTAAGTAGGTTTTTAATCACTTTTCAATGATTTTTTGTGTCTGTGCCATCCAAAAAAGAAATAAACCAACATATTTCTTATACACAGACATTTTGGAATTAATCTTTTTTGAAAATTTCAAAAAAAAAATTTTGTAGCAGTAATATGGCTTTATACACTTTAAATCAGGATATATGAACAAGCTGGCCATGCTCTATAAATAACACAAACATTTTATGCAGAGCAAATGAATTTAATTTTAAGTCACACTTTTAATGGCCCATTATGCCCCAGAAATTCTTTTTTCTTTCTAAAGAGCTTTTTATTTTTGGTGTACAATACTTTTATTATTTCTAAAATGTTAATACATGTAATTGGCAAATTTCCTGAACCATCTTTATCTTCTCTTGCTTTGTGGCATTAAATATAGTTATAGTGATTAAGTATTTTGTATCTCAGTCAACATACTAATCTGTTTGCATTTTGCTATATTTATGACAAATTATTTCACATTTAGTGCTATAATCTTCAGGTAACAAGTGTCTAACACGCTCTAAAGCCATTTTTTTAATTGCTAAAAAAACTATTTTTTTTTCCTTTTATAAAGAAGTAAAAATGGGTCAAAGACAGAAAAGGCTTGGTTGCATTTGTATACCAAATATCATGAGGCTGTGATGTTACGAAAAATGTTTACCATTGAACATAAATGTCAGTAACGGGATGTGGATGAGCGACAAACCTGAAATCGAACCCCACAATATGGGACCACTAGTTAATGCTGTATGCCAAATATCAAGAGGCTGCGATGAGTAGGTGCTGAGAAAACTGTAAGGAAAATTTCTTACCATTGACCATTAATGTCGAAAATTTAACTAAGTTGGTAAACAGGAAGTGGATGTGCGACAGATTTAATCGAATCCCACACTATGGGATCACTAGTTAATGCTGTATGCTAAATATCAAGAGGCTGCGATAAGTAGTTGCTAAGAAAACTGTTGTGAAAATTTCCTACCACTGACCATAAATGTCGAAAATTTAACTAAGTCGATTAACAGGAAGTGGATGAGCGAAAGCCCTGAAAACAAATCCCACAATATGGGACCATATGTTAATGCTTTATGCCAACTATCAAGAGGCTGTGATAAGTAGTTGCTGAGAAAACTGTTATGAACATTTTTTCTCCAAGCCTTACGCCAGACAGTCACCATACTATGACCCGTGTTTCGACTGTGCAACCCGACCAAAAATTCATTTGTTTCTGAGGCAAAATCTGCCTGTAACATGTCATGTGTGGCAATTTTCCAGCTTTCTTGGTGGAGGAGGACCTCAGGTACCAAGCACGTGCAAGTGGTTGAGTAGATGGGCCGACCTCCCATATGCCAAACTTGGGTGGCTTCCTTACATGGAAAAAAATCTGAATTTTTGGAATTTTAACCTTAAAAAAAAAAGGGGCAAGAGGGCCCCAAAAAGGTTTACAACCACACCAACAGACGGGTCCAGAAAGCCCAAAGGTAAAACCAAAGATTTAAAAAAAAAGAAAGCCAGGCCCCTTTTGGGGGTTTAAAGAATGGGGATACAAAAAAGTTTAATTTAAAATTAAAAATGGGAAAATTATAGAAACATAGCAATATTGTTAACACGGAAAGAAAAAACCAAAAAGGGCTGGGGTTTAAAAAATTTTTTTTTAAAATTCATTTTACAAATGTAAAAATTTTTTTATCCCTGTCCATGATTTATATAATTTTTGGGAGAGGTTTTAAAAAGCCAAATAAACTTAGGGTCTCATCCATTGTATTTTCACAGACCTTTTAAAATTTTGGGTTTTTCCCTAAAAAAGATGCCATGTTTTGGTAACCCCAAGTGTGAGGCCAACTCTGTTGAGACACAACAACTTATAAAAGTTATGAAGAGAACCACCAGATTATCAACCTGCAAAATATCTAACCTCTGGGAATTGTAGTACTTTCTGGGCAAGTTTTTCACAGCTAGTTTTATAAACATTGTATAAGTCAATACAACAAATGTGACCCTGTTGACCCCATTTTTGTACCCAAGGCAATAATTCATGTAATTTTCAAAGACATTCAACAGACTATGTAAAATGCCAAACTTCTTTGATTTTGTCAACAAGAGGGCCATGATGGCCCTGAGGTCGCTCACCTGTATATAGGCCCCTGGAGCCGGGCCAGTTTAAACCCCAGGGCTTTTATTTGAACAAACTTGGAAGACACCCATTAGAAGATGTTTCATGATGTTAAGTTTTTACTACACACATATAATGAAGAACAATGACCTTCACAGCCCCCACCCCCCGGCAGGGCCAATTTAAAACCAAAGGCTTTTATTTGAACAAACTTGGTAGACACCCATAAGAAGATGTTTCATGCTGAACATCTAAGCTCTAGCTATTTGGGTTTTTCAAACAAGATTTTTAATTTTTTGCTATACACATATAAGGAAAATCAATGACCCCCGGGGCGGGCCAATTTTGACCCCAGGGCTTTTATTTGAACAAACTTTGTAGACACTCACTAGAAGATGTTTCATGCTTAATATCTAAACTCTAGCTATTTGGGTTTTTTCAAAGAAGATTTTTTAAGTTTTTGCTATACACATTTAAGGAAAATCAATGACCCCCGGGGCAGGGCCAATTTTGACCCCAGGGCTTTTATTTGAACAAACATGGTAGACACCTATTAGAACATGTTTCAGCTTAATATCTAAACTCTAGCTATTTGGGTTTTTTCAAAGAAGATTTTTAAGTTTTTACTATATGCATATAGGGAAAATCAATGACCCCCTGGGGCGGGGCCAATTTTGACCCCAGGGCTTTTATTTGAACAAACTTGGTAGACACTCACTAGAACATGTTTCATGCTAAATATCTTAGCTCTAGCTCTTTGGGTTCTTTAAAAGAAGATTTTTTAAGTTTTTACTATATGCATATAGGGAAAATCAATGACCCCCTGGGGCGGGGCCAATTTTGACCCCAGGGCTTTTATTTGAACAAACTTGGTAGACACCCATAAGAAGATGTTTCATGCTGAACATCTAAGCTCTAGCTATTTGGGTTTTTCAAACAAGATTTTTAATTTTTTGCTATACACATATAAGGAAAATCAATGACCCCCGGGGCGGGCCAATTTTGACCCCAGGGCTTTTATTTGAACAAACTTTGTAGACACTCACTAGAAGATGTTTCATGCTTAATATCTAAACTCTAGCTATTTGGGTTTTTTCAAAGAAGATTTTTTAAGTTTTTGCTATACACATATAAGGAAAATCAATGACCCCCGGGGCAGGGCCAATTTTGACCCCAGGGCTTTTATTTGAACAAACATGGTAGACACCTATTAGAACATAATTCATGCTTCATATCTAAACTCTAGCTATTTGGGTTTTTTCAAAGAAGATTTTTTAAGTTTTTACTATATGCATATAGGGAAAATCAATGACCCCCTGGGGCGGGGCCAATTTTGACCCAAGGGCTTTTATTTGAACAAACTTGGTAGACACTCATTAGAACATGTTTCATGCTAAATATCTTAGCTCTAGCTCTTTGGGTTCTTTAAAAGAAGATTTTTTAAGTTTTTACTATATGCATATAGGGAAAATCAATGACCCCCTGGGGCGGGGCCAATTTTGACCCCAGGGCTTTTATTTGAACAAACTTGGTAGACACTTACTAGAAGATGTTTCATGCCAAATATCTAAGCTCTAGCTCTTAGGGTTTTTTAAAAGAAGATATTTTAAGTTTTTTCTTTCGGTTGCCATGGCAACCAGAGTTCTGCATGGAATTAAATTCTTTGAACAATTTTTAAAGGTGACCACCAAAGGAACATTCCTGTGAAGTTTGGATGAAATTGGCCTAGTGGTTTATGAGGAGATGTCATTTAAAGTAAAAGTTTACGGACGACGGATGGACGACAGACGACGGACGGACGCCGGACGGACGCCGGACGAAAAGCGATCACAAAAGCTCACCCTGTCACTTTGTGACAGGTGAGCTAAAAATGTGAAATAATTGTGTCAAATTTTAACCAAAGAAATATATTCTAGCATATAAATTTATGTGATGTGATGGTCATAAACACATACTCTTAATTTCAAAACAATCACACAAAGGGCTCAGTGAAATATATGTGCGGTATGAGAACAACATAGGCAAAAAGAAGCATGATTTTGTCAAAATCCATGACAGAGTTATGTCCTCTTGCCTAACAGTAAAGGTGATGCTCATTACCAAGTGTAGTTAGATTAAAAGCAATATCTTGAGGAGTAGGATGGTACAAACGGCTGAACTAAAAGGTAGATGCTGATATGGACCAAATGTTGAATTCCATGCTCAGGTGACTCTTATGCATATGTAATGAACCAGCTAAAAATATTAACTTCTTTTAAGATTTAATATCCTATATAGAAAAATGAAAAGCAAAATTTTTTTGAAATTCCTGTTAAACAATAATCACAATGGTAATGAATTAGACGTTGTGCTCAGGTGAGCTAAAAATAATTCCTATATAACTTTTAAACTTGCTCACAACACTGTCTTTGAATAAATTATTCACGAGTGGATTAAAACCAGCTTTGATATATCTGTCTTTATACACACACACACACAAATAATAATTGATACAGCATAAATATACATGCAAAGAAGCTCCAATTCCTGACCACAGTAATATATAGGTCTATCTGGTTGCTTAAAAGTGCGGGATTGCGGTATTCCCGTGAAGCAGTGTCCCGAATTCCTGCAAAGCAGTGTCCCGGATACCTGCAAAGCAGTGTCCCGGATACCTGCAAAGCAGTGTCCCATAAATCACAATGAGTTTAACGTTAACCTGCTGCAGCTGGAAGTAATTAAGTCTTTGCCACCAATATATAATCAGGCCAATCTGACCAGGCTCTATACTATTGGCTGACAAATCTTCAAAGAACTTTTCTGATGAAAACGCAAGCTCGAGAACAATTCTCTGTTTAGTTCATAATCAGAAATCTATAATCTTGATAAGCATTTCTTTATAAAGCTCTAGCCGGCTAAACAAAGGCTTGTAAGAAGATCATGTGATAAACTGAAATATTACTTCACATTATCTTTAAAGTATTTTAAATAGAATAAACATTATCTTTTAAGTATTTTAAATAGAATAATGTAAGAGTTTCTGTGCTTAAAGACACTCCTCTCTTTAGTTCATGCACAGAGGTAATTTTTAAATTCTTCTTAAAAGCTTTAGCACTGATGCTTAACAAACAGAAGAAGGGACAATCTGAGAATAATATCTTGATATACACATTGCATTCACATACTTTGTAATGTCTGGGAATCTTTATCTGTAACTAAATAGTGGAAACATTCATTTATACAAATCAATACTACAAAACTTAATTTTATTTCAGAAGAATATATATATACACTTAACATATTTGTTTTGAGATATGGGATAATCTTTTGTAAATTTGTAAACCGTTATCCCCACACTATATATGGTATGGACTTGACCAGATAAAAATCTGAAACTAAACTGTTTCCTTTTTTTATTTTAAGGGAATTTAATATTTAAATAGTAAAATACAGCAGCCAACAAAACAGAATCTGTTTACACTGCATAAATGTGCAGACTGGTCTTGCTTTAAATGGGTCAAAGTTTACTGGTTAAAAGATTGCTGGTAAGTATTTCAATGAAAAGGTACACCGTCATTTGGCGAAGATCCAGCTTTACTGGTGGAGGAAGACCTCAGGTGCCCTACCTTGCATTTTTTTTCAGGCATGAACGGGCACCTGAGTAGAACCACCGACATCTGTACGCTAGCTGGATAGCTTCCTCACATGAAAGAATCCAAAGTCCCTGTCAGGGGTTGAACCCACAGCAGTGGGAAAGTGGATTGAAGTCAACAACCTTAACCACTCAGCCACGGCTCCCCCCCCCCCCCCCTTAACACAAGTAACCAGGTAACCAGGACTGGTATACATGCATATTTTTTCAGCTTGTCTGAATTACAGTGGAAGTGTTAAAATTGATTAGAGATGATATTAGAGATTATTGAATAAGATGTCATTGTTGCCTACAATGTGACTATAAAAAGAGTTTATTCCTTTCCTTTGTAACAGAAATGAATATTAATGTCCTTGCATGATTTTATTTTTAGGTACACATCATACTTTTCTACAACTAGCTTAAAGTGAGTTGGTCCATAATGGAAGGTCCTTAGAACCATAAAACTAAAACTCAAAATATCTTCTTTTTTTCAAAAAATATTCTACAAAATTTTTCAAATAATACATATCTATTGTTTCTATCAATAACATAAATTCTTATGGAAAATATGCCCCTTGTAGAGCAATCCACTTTAACTGAAGTCCTTATTTTCAAAGGTAAAGGAAAGGCATATAAGTGTCATCTATACATATTGAAACTAATGAACTTCAGTACATGGTTGTAGTAGAAATCTATTCTAGTATATATGGAAAACTTACCTGCTACCAATTTATCTGTCTTCAAAATCTCATTCTCCTCTACCAGTGCTTTTAAAAACTTGTCTTGAGTAGTCGTCTGTAAGATAATACAATATTCTGTGAATTCACTTAATTTCATGTGCATGGAATTTCGTAGTTTTATCATACAGAGCATTAATTTTACATGGGTTCTTGAAACGTAGACTTTTTATTTTTTCAAAAAGGTAAACTGTAAATAATATAATGCAAAAAATCTTACAGCAAACCATATGAAATTTTGGCATAAGCATTTATTTTTTACTCTGCATATATTGTGTAATAACACACTTGGCTGCGCCTTCTGTTTAATATGGGAATCATGTGAAGCATGTTAGAATTGATTATAATGATCTTTATATTAGTTTCAATTTCTAATTTTCATCATGTTTTACTGTATACTTGATTATAATGAGCATTTTAAAGTGACATTATGCCCACCCAAGTGTCAATGGTGAGATTCAAAACAACTTCTTTCACATTTTGCCATAATTGTGTTCAATTTTATATTTTGCTATACAAAAATAATCAATAATCAGTGTGACTCACCGACATTTCTAAACAAATCATTCGGAATGTATTACCAATGTTCAATTTTTAAAAGGATTGGACAACTGTCTTATAATATATGTAGTTTTTATATTTTAACCTAAAAGAAATTTCAATCATTGGTGACTCACCATTATAATAGTCAATCTCTTGAAACATATTACTAATTTAACCCAACTTAACAGTGAAAAAATGAGCATAATGTTACTCTAAGTTAATCATAGTTTTGATAAAATCTTACTGTATATTTGAGTTGCATCACTTCCTGCTTCATTCTCATCATACATGTGACTTGTTGTTGATAAACTTCTAGTGTCTTTTCTTTCCTGTATAAATAGAGAGTTACATCAAAAATAAAAAGTTTCCATCAAACATATCTGGAAAAGATTGTTTGTGTTGTTCTAAATCTTTAACATATTAGTATGTTTTTAACTCGTTTAAACCCAGTTGAATTTGTTTGGAGGGGGGTGTTGTTTTTGTTTTGTTTTGTTTGTTTTTGTGGTGTTTTTTTTCATGGATCCTCTTTGCTTATAACAATGTTTCCTAGGCTTTGAAAGAAATTCCTTGAAATTAAAACAATTGTTATTATGAACAGTGCCTTCATTTTAAAGTCATTTTAAAGTACATGTACAATATATAGTTTGGGTTTCCATCCTATTTAGCAATTATCTTTAAATGTAAAAAACATCAATTAAAATCTGCATATATATATATTTTTTTGTTTTCTTTCAATCAATAAGAACAAATTTAACAAAAAATTCAAAGTGAATTCAAACAAAATCACCGCAACAATTTGACAAAGACCAATTTAAACACTTACCATTTAAGAAACTCTTGTTCTAGCTCATACATTTCTAAACCTGGAATTTTTATTGATGTCAACAGTCTATGACCTACAAAAAAAAATTGTAATACATGTAGTATTTAAACTATCAGTTTTGACTATCAATAAAGCAGATGTGAAATTTTGTTTGTTGGGTTAAATTTTAAGTCACATTAACACTAATTAAGAAGGTCAAACAGGACATTCCAGCTTTACTAGTAGAGAAAGACCTCAGATGCCCCCCTTGATGAATTATTTCAGGCACAAGTGGGCACCTGAGTAAAAACATCGAGCTGCTGTTACAGTGTGAAGCTTGGATCAATGTTTACCTTAAACAGCATACGGTAAGTGTCACATTTCCTTACAGACTCTTACCTGAATCTGTTGGCATCTAAAATTAATATTTGGACATTGATCTAGCAATGAACAGTTAAAAAAACTATATGGCAAGACTATCTAACAATTTTTTCAGGGTGAAACTTAAACTTTTGTTTAGATTTATGTTACAAATTGACTCTACTTAGAAATTGGGCTTTATCTACATAATATATCAAAGTTAAGACATTTTGATATGTTTATGTATATGTAGCTTTGATATTTTGCATATTAACGCTGAATGTCCCTCAACTATGACATGGGATGCAATAGCCCGACTTAAATATAGCAAAATAACTTCTATATTAAAAGTGAGATTGTCTGAAACAAAACAAGTAATGTATAGAGTAATGCTTTCTTGAAACACTATCTTAAATATCTTTTTTACTTTTTTTATGTAAAAATCACCAACTTATAGACATATCCAGCAAAGTGTAGACTTAACCCTTTCCACACTAAATATCTTAAATGGACTTGTTCTTCTTTCAATCTGGACAAAACCATTTATCATTTTTAGGGAGAATTTTAAAGTAAATTCTGATTAAATTACAATAGCAAGCATTGCAGACTATGAGCACACTGCACAGAAGTGCTTCTGATCTTGGTCTGCACTGGTTGAAAGGGTAAATTCAGTCACACTCAGGGTAAAATTCATTGTAGGCAAAAGAAATTCTTGGTTATATATTTCATAAACATTAGTCTCCCTTTATCTGATATCATGACCTGCACTGTTCACTTTTCTATCACTTCATATTTTGAAATTTTCCCTAAAAATGATGAATGGTTTTGTCCAGATTTAAAGATGGACAAGTCCATTTAAGATATTTAAGGTGGTAAAGGTTAAACACTGCTACAGGACATAGTATCAAACAACTTACCTGAGAATCCTGGAAGATAACACATTAGTGTACAGTTAGTGAACTGTTCTGCTAACTCCCTGAAAATACATACATTATGTTATATTTAGCTTATGTAAAATTGATGAATCTATGCTAGCTGGATAGCTTCCTCACATGAAAGAATCATAGTTGAAACCACAGCAAATAAGAGGTAAAAAGCCTTAACCACACAGTCAGGGAGGCCCGGTAAAGTATTAAGTAAAAGATAAATATGAGACTTATATTGAAAATTAGTTTATAGTTTATTTAAACTTATTTTACATTTTTTTGTGTTGGAAGCAATATAAGCTTATTGGAACACACTTTAATCCGTTCCTGGAACCAACTAGTACTAAGCAATGACTGTCAAGGTTTTTGCTCAAGGAAACAACGACTTGCTTGCCCCTGACGGGCGCTGAAACTACACATCCAGCAATTCGTAGATCACTAGTCAAACGCATTAATCACTTGGCCATGCTGCCTCAAACATTTGAAAACTTTAAATTGGCAAACTAGAAAACAAATATGTTATTTTCAGGGAATAACTTTGTCAACAGTATATTTTATAAATAAACATACTTCCATCTACTATTCAGAACAATATCATCTGAGAATCCAAACTTCTGGAAGAACTCTACAGCCTCATTGTCTGCATGAACCACTACTGCATCGTAATTGCCTACAACCTTTGGCTCTACCAATTGCTGTAAATATAATACATGTACATATGATTGTTAATCAATGTGAAATATACATCAGCATCCTGAATGTTCAACGCTAAACTTGCCAAATTTCTGAAATGGACTTGTCCACCTTCAAATTTTGGACTTATCCATTATCAAGTTTGGGGATGTCTAGATGAAAATTGGTCAGCCATCAGTATAAAGTAAAGTAATTGCATTTTATAGTCTAAGTTTCATGTTTACGCACATTCACCGACTTTACAGCTATTACCCCTGGTCATCGGGCTACTGGTATCTATCTATAAATCTCCCTGGGGAGTCTTTTAACTCCGCTTAGTGCAGCCGACACTTTGGCGCAACGGAATTATACCACCCTCGCAGGTACCCATTTACACCTGGGTGAAGTGAAGCAATCGCAGGTAAATTTCTTGCTCAAGGAAATTACCAGTGCCCCTGGTGGGGTTCGAACCCGGGACCTCTCGATCCCTAAGCGCGCGTCCTACCACTGGACTACTGCTCCTGAATAGAGCCTGGTCAGAAAGCACAACTTACAAAATCTGTCTGTCTTAAAGGGAGTATTTATGGAATCTACCCAACTTTAAGGCAGTATTTATTTACCCAACTTAAAGGCAGTATTTATAGAATCTACCCAATTTAAAGCAGTATTTCTTGAATCTACCCAACTTAAAGGCAATATTTCTTGAATCTACCCAACTTAAAGGCAGTATTTATGGAATCTACGCAACTTAAAGGCAGTATTTATGGGATCTACCCAACTTAAAGGCAGTATTTATGGGATCTACCCAACTTAAAGGCAGTATTTATGGAATCTACCCAACTTAAAGGCAGTATTTATGGAATCTACCCAATTTAAAGGCAGTATTTATGGAATCTACCCAACTTAAAGGCAGCATTTATAGAATGTACCCAACTTAAAGGCTGTATGTATAGAAAGTACCTTTCTAATATACAACAACTATAGAATCCACCCTAATTATAAGTTGTATTAATAATTATTATTTTGTACTCATTAATGTTATAGGAACATTCCAAATTAAACACAAGAATCTCACCCACTTTAAAACAGTATTCACAGAATCATTCCAACATTACTGCACTATTTATAGAATACTTACAGAAAGAAGAAATTTTCCAATACCAAAGTTACGACATCTTTTACGTACACTGACCAATGTTAGATGTATAACCCTATCTCTGTGCTTACTGAAATCACATCAAAATAAACAGATGACAAAATTGTACAATATACTATCTAGCACCATATAAATTTTAGAGGTACAATGTATAGAATATAAAGCAATTTTAGAACATCATCAGAAAGGGTCTGAAGTTTACATTTAAATCAGGTTTATGTGCAAATTAGCATAAAATGCTGACAATTTATAAATTTAACTTCTATTGAAGTGTTATTATAGCAAAATCAAATCCATTTTCAAAACATAGCATAAAAATTCCTAAGAAAAGGCAAAAAGGCTTACAGAATATATTAGTTCCTACAGTATTTTTATTAATTTTTGAGAATTGAAATAAATCACACTTCTAAAAAAGATTCTAAATAGAATAGGATTACCAGATCAAGAATTTTTTTTAAATATAGGTCTTGTTTACAATCAATGTCCTTTTTAAAATATTTTTCAAAGGTCAGTTTCTTTAACCTCAACTTACTGGAACAGAAAGTGATCAACTTTTGCCCCTAGTATAGAGCTAGGCCAGCCTGAACTTCCATTAAGTATGACCAGGGTCTGAGGCTCAAAGTCAGATATCAAGGATTTGATTGGTCAGAAACCAGCTCTGAATATACACTGACCAATGAAAATCATGAGATTTGAGAGAGAGAACTCAGAAAAAAGGTTTTATAAACTTGAGGCCAGGCTTTATACTGTTGGCTGACTCACTTTAAACTTCATTTTGATATCTCCAAATATTGATAATGAACAGTACCAAAAAGGGAAGCTGGAAAAGTCCATTTAAGAAATTTAAAAGATTAAGGGTGAAAATGTGCTTTTTACATGATAAGAATGAAACACAGACAGGGAAAAAATTAAAATAATACAAAAATTTTAACATGAGAGAAGTATCTTGTTAGAATAGGTATCTACGACATAACTTTTATTTCAAAGGGTATATCTGATAGAGGATCTTGTTAGAGGAAAGAACAATTAATCATATAACAACATGTATGAATAAAGCTAGAAAAAGATCTACTTGTATATATTTCAACTAACTTGTAACACTAATAGATAATCAACTGAACAAATAAAAAATTCAACAGCACTGTTGAAAGAGATAAACATAAAACTTTTCACAAAACTCTGTTTGAGTTTAACAGAAAACACATCATCAGTTCTGTGGAAAAAAAAATGTTTTTTATTTTTTTTTTTTTTGTTGTTGTTGTTTTTTTGGTATTTATGACATTTAATCATAAAGTGAAACAAATGATTCTTTCTAAGGGTTAACAGAGAGTGACTTCTTTATAAGGAACCAAAACATAAGGAACAAAACAGTTAACTTAAGACTAAATGTGAATAGATATTTGCACCATAATCTTCATAAAGAAGGGTATACCTGATATAGGATTTTGTTAAAGGAGTGTAGAGGGTAGAGTTAGAGTGTAAACTGTTGCACCTTTTATTTTTTTTAAATCAAACCAAGCCTGCAACTATCACTTTTTACTACACTTATTATTGCTAACAAGGACTCTCCCATTTTGCAATGAATTTTTGAATGATATAAACTTGTTTTTGAATAGCTGGCACAAAAACTAACAGAAATATTCCCACTAGTATGCTAGCAAAATCACATAAATTTCATTACAGAGTCTCGAAAAAAAAATTCAAAAATTCATTCATTTTGTGCAAAAATTATTACTTTTGCTAAATTGTATAATTTAGCTATTCTCTAGCTGTTTTATTTCAAATATCCTACATTAATCTTATCAACTAAAAAAAAGTTTTACTACTGGAATCTTTAAAGCAATTAGGCTAATGACCTCTGTATCCATCCACATGTGCACACATTTCTCTCTTTTTTTTCTTTGAAGTGGGGGTAGGGGGGAGTGTAATGTTTTAAATCACATCAACAAGAATAAATGCTGTTGTTTTCTTATATAAAAGCATTAAATTGTAGTGTACAAGTGATCATACATTACTTATATTCCAATAATACAGATTAAAACTTGTAATGCATAGATTAGACACAGAATAAATAAATAATAATCTTTACAATTTGAATATAATTTGTACAAAGTTAATTGACAGCTTGATATGAGATGGAAAAAAAAACAACAAAAAAAAACATTATATTATATATACATGTATATGTATATGCATATTGAAGAATCATTTGTTACCGAATGATAAAAAAAGTTCTTAAAATCATAGCTGAATATTGAGCTCTGCTATTATGAAACTAAAATCAAAATTTAATATGCACATTCATGTCACAGTGCAAGATTTGACCATACATTACTGACTGGTTAAGGTTACTGACATCAAATCCCTTGCCCCTCACAACTTTGAGTTTGAATCCCTACAGGAATTTTGGGTTCTTTCATGCGCAAAAATATCCAGCCAGTTTTAAGATAATATAACTGAGCCTGAAATAATGCATGATGGGATATCTGAGGTCTTCCTCAACCAGCCTGTCTTGAAACTTGACCATTATAGCTGTTATGTGAATTAAAACCTAACAAAAATGTGAACACACAATACGTAGATAGACAGGAATTCCCTGTCTAAACTAGAACATAAAGGACAATCATTATGTTACCAGTTATTATATGTCATTATTTTCATGTAATTATATATAATTTTAGACCATTTTTGTCAGTTTATTTTCACTTAAACAAAAACATGGATAAAAATGTGCACACATTAGGAAAATAAGGACAAGAGAAAGAAAAAATCAAGTATGACATTCAATCATCAGATACAAAGATTTTTACCTTAAGTAACTTTAAGGCCAAACATTGCTTGTTTCTCTCATAATTTGGTTTTCATCCCAAAATAAAATTGCATTTTGATATATCTAGAGCTAGGCTTAGTGATGATGAGTAAGGAAATAAGATATGCAGAAATCTGACTAATGTTATTTGATGTTGTAAGGAATTCAACACAAAATCTGAAAGACACAAAGCGTAACTTTCATCAATTTATTGAAGGGAGAAAATAAAATGTATTATCCCAACCTTTTTATACGTCCTTGCCTATAGAAATAAAATAATACAAAAAAATTCAAGATTTTCTAAATAATCTAAGAAGTGAAAAAAAATTCTTCAGGGAATATCAAATATCAAAATGAATGGATGATATAGACTGTAAATTTCTAAAATTAAAAAACAAATTTGTCCGGAAGTTAGTACACTATGCCAAATAAGCTTACACACAAGGTCCCAATTAAGACATATCAGCATCCCCTGATATACATTTTAAAAGGTAACAATAACATATATTCAATATTTATGACAAATTCAAGTTTAAAAATTTGGCATTCTGCTAAATGTTCAATATAAAGAAAAACTTACACCAAAATTTAAGGAAAGTAGATTCCTACGCTAGCAACTTAAACATGTATTTAGTGTTGAATATAACTTACACATATTTCTTTTCAAAGGTGGCACATCCTATAATTCTGTTTTCTATGCCAATCATGTCTTTAGTAACTGGTCCCTCTGACGTCTTGCGTGTTTTCCGTCGATCAGAAACTTTAGAAATGAAGGAGTTAATGCCCTTGGAAAAATCTTCTTCCTCGTCTCTGTTAAATGAAAATAACATCTGACTTAATGTATTTCCCATCAAATCATTAAAAAACTAGAACTGTGTCCAAAGGACACGGATGCCCCCACTGACAACATATATATGGTATATAGTGAAAAAATCAACAAAGGGCCATAATTCTGTCAAATTTGGTCACAGCAAAATTTCCTTTCTTTTACTACCATCTACACATTAAGGTTGTTCATCCCTGGAAGTTTAAGCAAAATCTGCCATCCGGTTTAAGAGGAGTTGCGTTCACAAAATTTCTATATGGTATATAGTGAAAAAATCAACAAAGGGCCATAATTCTGTTAAATTTGGTCACAGCAAAAATTCCTTCCTTTACTACCATCTACACATTAAGGTTGTTCATCCCTGGAAGTTTAAGCAAAATCTGCCATCTGGTTTAAGAGGAGTTGCGTTCACAAAATTTCTATATGGTATATAGTGAAAAAATCAACAAAGGGCCATAATTCTGTTAAATTTGGTTGCAGCAAAAATTCCTTCCTTTACTACCATCTACACATTAAGGTTGTTCATCCCTGGAAGTTTAAGCAAAATCTGCCATCCGGTTTAAGAGGAGTTGCGTTCACAAAATTTCTATATGGTATATAGTGAAAAAGTCAACAAAGGGCCATAATTCTGTTAAATTTGGTCGCAGCAAAAATTCCTTCCTTTACTACCATCTACACATTAAGGTTGTTCATCCCTGGAAGTTTAAGCAAAATCTGCCATCCAGTTTAAGAGGAGTTGCGTTCACAAAATTTCTATATGGTATATAGTGAAAAAGTCAACAAAGGGCCATAATTCTGTTAAATTTGGTCGCAGCAAAAATTCCTTCCTTTACTACCATCTACACATTAAGGTTGTTCATCCCTGGAAGTTTAAGCAAAATCTGCCATCCGGTTTAAGAGGAGTTGCGTTCACAAAATTTTTACATGGTATATAGTGAAAAAATCAACAAAGGGCCATAATTCTGTTAAATTTGGTCGCAGCGAAAATTCCTTCCTTAACTACCATCTACACATTAAGGTTGTTCATCCCTGGAAGTTTAAGGAAAATCTGCCATCCGGTTTAAGAGGAGTTGCATTCACAAGATTTCGGGACGTACGGACAGACGGACGGACGGACAAGTGCAACGCTATATGCTCCCACTCTGTGGGGGCATAATAATGTGGCTAATAAATGCACTTTTTACTCTCAGTTACTTAAAATTAATGTACAAAATAAAAACTGGTAAAATACTTAAAAATATACCCCAAGAGCACTAAATAATATGCCCCAAGGCATTTGAAGACAATAGTTTTGATCTGAATATATGTGTGTAAAAAGGCCAAAATTCCACTTAAATAAGTCAAATCATGAAACACTTTGTGCCAGGTCACTTAATTATTGGGGTTCTGTGAAAGTTTTAGATTCTCTTAAAAATGTGAGAAGAGTTGAGCATGTATAGAATTGTTTACACCCGGCCTCCTGCATGCTATTTGAAATTTGCCAGTCAGATAACCAGATTTTTCAAAACCTGGTCAAAAAGGCTTATCATTCAGAATATCAGAAATCAAATCAGGCACAAATAATTCCTAATAACTACTGTTGACCCTTATAGGCAATTATTAAGATTGACATGAATGGACAAAACAGATAACTGAAAACATTATACAAAAGTATAAAACTAAGCAATATTATAATAAATGTTGGTAAGACGACAGTGTCAAAAATATTACAAAATTGCAATAGGGTCTTTCCCATAATTTTCTATGAGAAAAAGAATATGATAAACAAGATCAACAAGGAAAGGCGGCATTCAATGAATGCAACCCCCACACGACCCAGCAACAAGAACCAGCTGCAACTTACATGTCAACTTTTTTTGATGATCAAGCGGGAGATTTTTCTTCAAAAAGAGGTAGATTTTAGAATTTGCAATAAACAAAGAAGGAAGTTTTGACTTCAAAAATACGTATATTTCTTCAATTTGTGAAAATACCCCTTATTTTAAGAAAACTCTTTGAAAATATGGCTGCAGAAAGTGGGAGTCTCCCGCTTAAAGTGGGAGAGTTCACATGTATGCTGCAAGTGCCCAGGAGGACCCCTAAACAAACAAAGTACGGGCCCAAGACAGAGCACAGAGAAAACAACAACAAAAAGAAACTGTTGTCCTACTCTCCCTCCTCCTCCTCCTCGGCCTCGGTATCTGTATCACTGTACACCTCGGCAAACTTGCTCGGCTGTTCCTCGTCCTCCTCGTACACATCCTCGTCAGCCGAGAGTTCACTCCCCTTTACACTTCCCTTCTCACCATCATCATCTTCAATATCTTCTTTCTCCTCTTGCTGCTCTTGAGGCTCATTTTTCCTCCTCTCCTCTAGATCATCAATAGTCTCTGTAAAACAAATATCACACACTTTATTATCACATTGACATGAAATTATCAGAAACATATAGTGTTATTATTTGTTCAATAGGCATCAGAAAATTTAGTAGAAACAATATTTATTTCCAGAATTTCAAACATATATATATATTACAACCAGAAGACATTGTTTATCAAAAATCATGCATTACTGAAATTATGATTTAGAGGTAAACAATGCTAATGACTTTCTCACTTAATTAAATTCGGAGGAGGTTTTGAAAACAAGTTTAATACTCATATCAATTCATTTCCTCAGTGGGTTGGAAAGGATGACGGTTGACTCATCAAAATAATGTGTAATGTTTTGAGATATGAATTTACAAATGAAATGATAAAAGAGTCCCATTCTGAAAACTTGACAATGTGTATCAAAGTTAAATGACAATTATCTGTTAATACCTTTCATAACAATATTAAAACAATCTTATTTTAGGTATTATTTTTTATATATATTGTTCAAAGTTTCTAGTATTTTCTTTTTAATTGAAACCTTTCAAACGAAACTATGATGACTATTTAACATATGAGCTGCGTCACGACAAAACCAACATAATGGGTTTGCGACCAGCATGGATCAAGACCAGTCTGCGCAGCTGCGCAGTCTGATCAGGATCAATGCTGTTTGCTTACAGACCCTAAAACAAGTAAAGAAACTAATAGCGAACAGCATGGACCCTGATCAGACTGCGGGGATGCGCAGGCTGGTCTGGATCCATGCTGGTCGCAAACCCATTATGTTAGTTTTGTCATGGCGTGGCTCATATATAGATGTGAACAGTGGGTCTGGATCCATGCTGGTCGCAAACCAATTATGTTGGTTTTGTCATGGCGCGGCTCATGTATAGATGTGAACAGTGTAGTAATCATGCTGGTGAATAGCATTAGCAGTGAGCAGACAATATGATTACATGTTAGAAAATGTAGTGTTAAAATAAAATTACAAACAAATCCTTTACATGTTAGTCTGCTGTAACAAATATAACAAGGACAGTAACGCTCGACTATTCGAAAAGTTGAGTATAATAATGCTTACCTATATGAATACATAAAATTATCCGAAAAGGTACAAAGGCTTGTTATTAAGATGTTTTATCGAGTTAATCATAACTTTATATTATAAAATGCATAAAATTGTTCAAAAAAAGGCACAAACCCTTCAGTAGTTATGGAGATATTTGTTAACAAGAATTTCTAAGTAGAAAAAGGGGCATAATTATGCAAAAAAGCAAATCAGAGTTATTGGACTTGTGCCAATCATGCTAGATAATCACAGAGAACAAGATTGTGAAGTTTCAAGCCATTCCCTTCAGTCGTTATGGAGATACCAGCTTGTACGCAAAAAAACTTAACCAAGAATTTCTAAGTCGAAAAAGGGGCATATTTATGCAAAAAAAGCAATCAGAGTTATGGGACTTGTGCCAATCATGTTAGATAATCACAGAAAACAAGTGTCTGAAGTTTCAATCCATTCCCTTCAGTAGTTATGGAGATACCAGCTTGCACGCAAAAACTTAAACAAGAATTTCTAAGTCGAAAAAGGGGCATAATTATGCAAAAAAGCAAATCGGAGTTATGGGACTTGTGCCAATCATGTTTGATAATCACAGAGGACAAGTGTTTGAAGTTTAAAGCCATTCCCTTCAGTAGTTATGGAGATACCAGCTTGCACGCAAAAACTTCACCAAAGGGGCGCTGACGACAACGACGACAAATGGGTGACTGCATTAGCTCGATTATTCTGCAAAAAGTCGAGCTTAAAACAACAATTAAAAGTTTAAGGTCAATAAAAAGTGTCTTTCTAATCTATATCATATGACTTGCAGTATGTATATATAGTCACCAACAATTTTTTCTAGGTTTGAACATAATTATATAAATTGAATAGTGAGAATTTACCTTGAATGTCTCTTACAAGGACAATTGTTCTTCCCCATTTCTCACACACTGTTGAATACAGTACATCTGGAGTCATCTCTGACAGGGACACATCATACAGACCGATAACAGCATGAAGTAGATCATTGTTGGATATCTGACACAATATAAAGGATATTTAACAAATAAAGATATATATTATTAAATTTACCTACTTTTTATTATTATCAGTATAACAACCTAAATACTTTGTACTGCTGCATTTATATCACTGAAATATCTGTTACTAAAAACTACTGTGGCACTAAGGTGACATTTGTCCGTTTTTATTTATCTTGTGCGCATGAGCTACTAACTAGTGGCCACAAGTTACTAAGTCATGGCCACGTGATAATGAAGTGGTGCACACGAGAAACTGTTCTGACCATGAGTATCTAAGTCATGGCCATGAAATGCTTAAGTTGTGCGCACATGATACTCTGTCATGGCCATGACATAAACAAGTGGTTACTTAATAACTTGTGGCCCAACATAGTATATCTTGCGCACAAGATAAATAAAAACACTCATGTCATCTCTGTGCCACCGTAGAAAACCCTAAATGTACGAAAAATGTAAGGGGATTTTCTTTCTACCTACATTGTATATATCTAGTTCTTTCACATGACCACAAACATCCTGATCAGTGATAGTAATCATTTGAGAAAAAAACATAAAAACCTCCAAGTTAATAATTTGCAAATATTATATTTTTCATGAGAAGCTGTATAATTTGCATGGTTAATTCTTACATGTAACTAGTGTTGTCCCGTTTGTCTCTGAATATCGATAACTAATCAGACCACCCCATAATCGGCAACAATCGATAGTCCTTTTTAAAAATTGATTATTTTAATGACTCTACCATGGCTGAATTGCCTATGGCGTAACATTTTTACATGCAGTCAAAAAGAAGTTTCCCGACCGAATCTCAGACAATTTTAAAGTATTTTTTTGTATTCAAAACCTATTTAACATGGTAAATACTACTTTAGAAAATTATAGTGTGTATACATCTACATCTACATGTTACTCCCGAACAATCAATTCTGACTATGACTGGGAGGCGCTTGTCAGGAAAACTGTGTTAAAAGAATTAGTGCATACTAAAAGATAAAGATCACAGATAAAAAAGGTGCAGGATAAAAAGAATAGCCTTCCATATCAGGTCAAATCCAGTCCCAGCCTAGATACCTTCAAGGATAGGCTGGCGACAGTCACCTTCTAGTCCCCTCCCAAGTATGTTTTTAATCTTGCACTATTCTTTTTATCCTGCACCTTTTTTATCTGTGATCTTTATCTTTTAGTATGCACTAATTCTTTTTCAGGTGAGTAGGAATTTAGATGATATTGGGTATAGTAACATAACATTATAAACTTATATATCTACTGTAGTTAAATTAGTGATCTACAAATGTCAATACTACTCATTGATATTTTGACCTGTTGACTAGTACTAATATATATTGACTGCCATAAAGTTGTATTTTACAAAAATTGACTGTCACAAAGGGTGTTTGGACTTTACACCTCCTGGACATTTCACCCCTGGACGTTTCACCCTCAAAACCCTGGTCTTTTCACCTCCACTTTTAAAATTTGATAAATATATGAAATAAATACCATTATGGCAGTCTTCACGAAAAACTTTAAAAAGCACAGGACATTTGGGCCAGTAAAATTTCAAATCTTACTGGACCTGGTGATTTTTAGCCGGACCAAATACATAGATAGGTAACAAATTGGAAAGGAAAACACTTTATCATGCTTCCCTTAATTATTTTGAAAGAAGCATAATACTTCTTGTATTCTGAGCCATATGTTGACAGCTTTGAAAAATCTATAAGGCTCAAATGTTTAGGCAAAATTGACTAGCATTGAACAAGAACAACACAATTTGCTTCAAACAAATCACTTTCACACAAAATATTAACTTAACTCAATTATCACAAAATCATAGCTAAATAAAGACCATGATAAACAATGGTTTAATTTCTGTAACTGTACGGTGTGGTACGGAAATTATCCAAGAAAAAAAAGGACGGCCTCCATTACTCAATACAATTTAGACATCTCTAGCTGTGTTTTGAACAATTAGGACAGAACTGATGGGTTTCATTTGCAATTAAAAGGCTAAAATATCAATCTTTTAGAGAACCCTGCCTCATTATTTTTGATGAATTTTTCTTATAATATTTTTTCATGGCCAAAAATCTACTGGCCCGTCGGACCACCAACTTTGAAATAATCACTGGACCGATGCTAAATTTAGTGGCCTTGGGCCTCGGACTGGCGTTAATTTCGAAGACTGTTATGGGTTATAATATTTTATATAATATAACACATACTTGCAAACAATTACATTCATGATATAAAGAAGATTTTTTTGACATAAATATAGTGAAATTTCCCTGGAAAAATAATTATAAATTTGAGTTCTGAAAGTCTACATGTATATATTATTTCATTTTTTTTTGTTATCCAAAAATTAAATACCATAAAAATATTAATTAATTAAAATATGTTTTTATATAACAGTTTTGGGCTAATATAATAGATAAGAACAATTAGAAGTGTGAAATAATTTTAAATAAAGCATTATAAACACTGGTTTATTAATTACTAAATCGATAGTGATTTTTGAGTTCTATACCCAACACTACATGTATCTGTTCTAATATTTTCATGAGGTGGCTGTACAATTTTGTTATCCCATCTGTTCTAATTATCTAGCAAATGAGCTTCTTAAATTTTTCAATAAAATTTTGCAACTTTTCAATTAAAATATTATCACCTTCAATAAAGAATATAGCATTTACATTCTGACATAGATCTATTGTACAGGTCTTGACAAGCAGTTGAATAGTTTTAAAATGACAACAATGAACTTTTGCTGCAAATTGTACTAAATCAAGACTGGTTTTACAACTCTAAAATGATCATTTCATCATAAACTTAGCTACCCCTTGTATTATTCCGTGTTCTTTTTGTAGTTCTTCAGAGTGTCCAATGCTCAACTGTAGCAGTCGTCGAAAATCAACAATAACCGGATACCCACTAATTGTTTGACCTTTCTTATTTGTAAATGTTTGTTTGTCAGATAATTGAGCACCAGGTCTTGTGTATGTTTCATGGTCTAAGTCTACGTGATGATGATTTGTAGAAATATTTTCTTTTTCTTGAAGTTTTAAATCTTCTAATTTCTCTTCCAATATTTCACCTCTGTTCGCCATGATGTAAACAAAACAGTGCCGCACTGAATAATTCAAGGGAAACAACTCGTATCATTTACAATGTGCGCTCTTTTACATGCACGAGAAGACCGTTCTACTCTGGTTTTATGTAGGATAATTATTTAAGTTTTTTGGTCATAAATTTATTTAAGAATAGATCTACTTAAATTGTAAGAATATCTATGTAAGTATTGAAAAAAATCTACTGAGTATCGTTTACTTTTTTTATATAAAAATATCAAAATTAAATTCTAGATATCGTTTACTTTTTTTCTTTTTGGTTTCGTATGTGGATCCTGAGTAACTTTAAATAGGCCTAATGACTTTTGAACCGATCTTCATCCCCACATATGGATACATAATTGAGATGGCAATGGTATAAAGGTTCTATATTTTCCTATTTTTACTCTTGTGTCATTTTTCTAGATGCTATATATAGATTCTATATGCTCTTTCTGTCTTTTTTTTATTTTTAGTAGAAGACTAATGACCAGATTACTGAAGGCGCAGTCCAAAAACGTACATTATGAACATTTTCTTTTCTTTTTTTTGTTTACGTTTTAGTAGATTCTAACGTCATGCCTCTGAAATTTCTTCTTTTTTTCTTGTCAGTTTTGTTGGTGGAGGAAGACCTTAGCATTACATTTCATTTCATTTTTATTCAATAGACAAACTTTTCAAGGAGAAGATTTCTATAAGACTTGTCTTTTGTTCTTTCCATTCTTTAATATTTAGAGTTTACTCATATTTCATTGCAATTATTCAATATTTTAATACATACATGTATGTATAAGGTCACACAAACTATTTTTACATTTGAGACCTAAAACGTTAATACAAAACTGCTTAATTTTTAATATAATGAAAAAACAAAAGTGTTTGGGGAAAAAACTTTATTCACATATAAGACATGATATGTCCATCATTTTACATATATAAATACATTCTCACACAAACAGTTGCAAAATATAAATTTCATGAATCAAATATCGTCATAATGGCAGTGTAAACAGTAAATAACAATAGTATAAACAACAATATGGTCTTTCCTTCAGTTAAAATTGGACTATTAGTAAAATAAATAAACTAATTACTTTTTTTTTTTTTTTTTTTTTATTGACGTATACATATTTGTTCATAGTCACAATAAGAAACACGTAATACATAAATCATAAGTCATGGTACGATCATATTGAAAACAAACATTGTTAAACAAAAGTATATATGGAGAATGTTCTTAAATCCATATTTAAACAATACAAAGTTGGCATTACTCTTACTAAAAAAAATGCAAAAATGACTTTGATATATTTAATATGTAGTGAGTCAACGATTAAAATTACATGATAAATACCATACTGTCGCTTTTTAATGAGCAAAATTACCATGCGCATACTGGTAAAAATAGTCTTTAAATAGTAATATTAATAAGGTCATATCGACGCTTAGTAGCAAAGATGATGTATTTAGCAAGTCCAATTAATTCGGATTTATTTTTTGACTTCAAAAGCTGCAAAAATTTAAACATACTCGGCCTTCTGTAAAAATATGGCTTAATGAACTCCCTACGTAATGCAGTATAACAATTGCAAATGATAATAAAATGAAATTCATCCTCAATTTCTTGAAGATTACATAATTCACATTTTCTTTCAGAACGTGGATTTCTATTAGGACCATACCTCTCTGCCTCTATCTTTAATTTATGAGAAGATAATCTAATACGAGATAAATTTTGTCTGTAGGATTTAATGAATAAATTATCAAGATAAAATGCAGGTTCAAATTTGTCAATCAAATGTACATACAAATTAGACAAAAGTGGACTAGATTGAATGTCTGCATTTACCTTTTGTATAAAACAATCAACTAATCTACGTTTGAATATTTCAACAAACTCTTTTGGGCTGTATTGCAATGGGTTGAGCCATACATCTGTGAATCCATATTCATTTAAAATAGAATGAACCTTAGCTGCCCAGGAGTTATATCCATTATCATGAAGACTTATTGATGAATAAAAAGCAGACTTTAAGATATTATTATTTGAATGAAGAATATGTAACCAGAATCTTATTATTTGAACATATCTTTGAACATAAAGAGGATATCGGCCTAACTCTGAATAAACTGCTGCAGTACATGTACTGTGTTTTACGCCTAACAATGACTTGCAGAATTTCAAGTGAATCCTTTCTATATCCTTAGATTTTGTAAAACCCCATATTGCACAAGAATAATTTAGTGTTGAGGAAACAAACGCATCAAAGAGTTGGAGTGAAACGGAAGGGGTCACATCATATACGAAGTAAAACATTTTGGGCTTTCATAGCTTTTCCTATAGCATACTGATTATGAAGTTGAAAAGACCCCGTATAATTAAAGACTACACCCAAATAGTTGAAGTTATCGACAGTCTCTAATAAAGTATTGTCGTATGACCATTTTTCATTTTCTCTGATGCTTCCCCTCTTCCTAAAAACCATTGTTTTAGTTTTATCTGTGTTGACCTCTAGGCCCCATTTATCACAATAAAGCTTTAAATTATTTAGATTCGATTGCAATTCTTTAATTGACTTTCCAAATATGACCATATCGTCGGCAAAAAGTAAAATAATCATACATATATCATAAAAAGTGAAACCCTTATCGTTATTACTATCATCATTCCTCAAGTATTGTTCCAGATCTTCCAGAAATAAAGCAAACAAAATCGGTGAATTATTTTGGCCCTGTCTTAGACCAATAGAAATATCAAAAAAGTCTGACAAAGTATTACAGTGCTTAACACAGAAAGACACCGAAGAGTACATATCTCTAAAAATCCTGATCAATTTACCATCTAGTCCGAGATTAAAAAGTTTATACCAAAGAGCATTACGATAGATTGAATCGAAGGCTTTTTTAATGTCAATAAAACAACAATAAAGACGTAAATTTTGGGATAGTATTCGTTCCACTAAAGAGTGCAAAACAAAAATTGCATCAACGGTGCTTACACCTGAACGAAAACCGAATTGTGCGTCAGACTGTATATTGTTATCACGTGCCCAATTTTCACTAATGTAGAATCTTAAAATCTTTGTTGAATGCTTGTATGTTTACATTAATTATATGTATAGTATTGGGAATAAATATATTTAACCTCAAGAACTATGTTAGCTTCAGCTGTATTATGTAAATATTCTCTTAAGAAGGGGCGTCCGTGGCCGTTGAATTCAAACCAACTGCCTCTCACCGCTGTAGATAAGAGCCGCGCTACCACCTCTTCGAATTCTTCAGGTGAGAAAGCTATCCAGCTACACGTACCTTACGGAAAGCTGATGGTTCTACTAAGGTACATGTTTGTGCATGAAATAATGTACCCGAGGTCTTCCTCCACCAGTAAAGCTGGAATGTGTTGATGCGACGTTAAACCCAACCTAAAAAATATGTAATGTCATGGTTGTGGGAAAGAAATTACAAAGAGTCAAAAATACATTCTAGACTAAATATTGAAACAGAGGTTACTGTAGTGCTTGATAAAATTCAATGTACGTGATCTGATTCTTTGGCAGAAGACCTGCTAAAATATTAAGCAAATACACGAATGCCAAATATAGAAAAGATTCACTGCCGTAATGCATATGGAGCTAAATTGGTATTGATGCGTATCAGTTGCAATTTTATTAATTTTACATATTTATTCGAAATGACTAACTTGTGCAGATATACGTTTTTAAATATTGATCAGCATCCAAGCAACACTGTACTTCTATATTATGTTTTATTGATTGGAATTGCAATAAGTTGTTTCACTTCAAAATTATAAAATGTGCACTAATAGGCTATAAATAAATTATGGAAAGAAGATCCCCACGAGCAATGGAAGTGCAAAAAAATGAAGATTGCACACTAGGTTTGGTTGGATATCTTGGAGAGGTATTGCAATAGTGCAACATTTTCTCACCCTTCCATCCTTCCATCCCCAACCTAAGCACCAGCACCGACTTAAGCGATATTCGGTCTTCAAACACTAAATGTGCTTGAACCAATGATCACTAATGGCTAGAAAAATATGCCGAGATGAATTACTCGACAGTACATGGCATATAACTGCTGCAAACAACATTTTATATCTGTTCTGAAAATGCAAGTACATTGTATAGGTGCAAACAGACTTCGTCTTCAGTATCTGTTATACATAGCAATACGTCTGCTATTTTATAATCACATATGTGCATATATCTCAAACCCAACATTTATTGTAAATTATATGTTTTTGGAATTTAGTTGCAGTGTTCGTTTGCAATAGAATACGTTTGTCTTACTTATTTGGGCGGAAACCATAGCCTAAAATGCTACTTCATTTACCAGACTGTGTTCATGTTCGAAAATGTGACACTTCTAACCTGTCTTGAATTGTATAGCTGCTTGATAAACCAGGCATGCAGGGGTTTCATTTTATTAGAACTATGCAATTATTGCAGACTGTTTTGTTTTAAAAGAATCTTAAGGTTATAATTAAATTCACAATGAAAATATGTGAAACCATAGTCAGTATATTTTGTCTATTCATCACTTTTATAATTATGTTGTTATCTTATATAAATTCTATTTTCCTTGGAGTTCATTTAGTATGCCTGTGTTTAAATTTTGAAAGAGAATACTTTACAAATCGGCGTTAGGAAGTATACAGAATGCACATTGTGTGCGTGAAAAAAAAATGTTGGCAGTGCACAGTTTCATTATCTCTCAGGATAGACTAAATTAAACCGAGTCTTCAATTTTCTTATGATTTTATTGTTTTTATATCCGACAGATCTCCTTTTTATCAGATTTTTGTACAGCTTAAAACAACAGAATTTTTCATTGCTTTTGATAGGTTCAAGTACATACATTTTTAAATTAACAAATAAATAATTAGGACATTATAGCAGAAACTTTCACATATCTTCATCTTCTGATTACAAATATTGAAAAAAAACTAATATCATAAATACTAGATAGCAATTTTATATGCTTCAAATGAATTCGTTTATGAAATTAATT